GTACTTGTTGTTGTATGTTTTTGCTGACAGAGCTAAGAGAGTGTGCTTTGCTTGGTTAATTGTGTGTCACTAAAGTAGATCATTTTTTAAGTATATTTTTCTGCCATTCTGAATCCTGAATCCAAAAAGAATGCATGCATAATTGTTTTTTTGAGGGACATTTCACCCAAAATAAGCTGTTCCTTTAATATATCTTCATTTGTGTTCCACAGAAGAATGAAATTCAAACAGGTTTGGAACAAGTTGAGGATGAGTAAATTATGGCAGAATTTTCTCTTTTGGGTGAACTATCTCATTAAGCGTAAAATTGGCCTCATTTTCCTTCCTGACCCTCTTCATCACTTTTCCATGCACATAACTGGATTTGCAATCTAGTTGAAATGATTCCATTAAATATTGTGTCATTGGGTTAATAAGTAAGCATCATTAAATACATTTTTAGATTCATCAGATGGATAAAGATTCGACCAAAAGCCAGTGGTCAAAACTTCTCTTTGGAATGGGATTTATGTTCCTAAATGATTTAATATAATATAAATATACAGATTTTGGGTACTTTCACACCTACACTTTTCTTTCGGAACCTGTCTTGTTTGCCCAGTTAGCGTGGTTCGTTTGGCAAATGTGAAACCAGCAATCGCTCTCGGATCCGCGCCCAATCAATCGCTCCAAGATCGCTTGAGTGAGGTGGTCTCGGCTCGATTAAAACAAACTCTGGAGCGGATCGATTGCAGCGAGAAAGCGATCCGATCCGAGCGCGGTTATATCACTGTGTTTTATGGATATGTAATAGGCATACAGCTATATGAAGAGAGAATTATGAGTAGGGCGGGAAGTTTCGCGAGTCTCTGGATGCCCGCAAACGAATGATGATCTCCCGTTAATCTCGCGTCTCCCTCCTGGTCCTCAAATAGGCTACGTCACGAACCCTTCTCACCCCTCCCCACTGCATCTCTCCTCACTCTTCAGACTCGTCGCGCGCACCTTGTCAAACACCACCAAACCACTACCTCTCCTGACAGCTGAGCGGCACTCTGCAAAATAAACCCTGACACTATAACCAATGTGAGGAGAGTTTACTTGCACGTGACTTGTTTTAGCTTTTTTGGTCCGATTAGAACTTTGCAGTGTGAAAGCAAACCCCTCCAAGAGCAAAGAGCAACAAATCAGGGTTTATTTTGCAGCGTCCCGCTCAGCTGTCAGGAGAGGTGGTGGTTTGGTGGTGATTGACAGGGTGCGCGCGCTACGTGTCTGAGGAGAGATGCGGTGGGGAGGTCGTGAGAAGGGTGCGCGACGATCACTATCTGAGGACCGGGAGGGAGACGCGAGATTACCGGGAGATCATCACTCGTTTGTGGGCATCCAGAGACTTGCGAAACTTCACGTTATACTCATAATTCTCTCTTCATATAGCCGTAAGCCTATTACATATCCATAAAACACAGTGATATAACCGCGCTCGGATCGGATCGCTTTCTCACTGCAATCGAACCGCTCCAGAGTTTGTTTTAATCGAGCCGAGACCACCTCACTCAAGCGATCTCAGAGCAATTACTTTTACGATTGCCCTGTTCACATATGCCAAACGAACCGCGCTAACTGGGCAAACGAGATACGTTCCGAAACTAAAGTGTAGGTGTGAAAGCACACTTAGACCTGATGTTTTGGGGGTTATTATAATTGGAACACCAACAGAAGCATCCGATGTGTATATCAGCTTACTCTGGACAGGTTATGGTCTGAGTCTAAAGGTTGAGACCTACTAGTCCAGATTTGACTAATCATAACCTGTTGGAACATTTTACCCACTCGTGATCAATGAGTGGAAAACAGTAGAGAATGCTGAATTTTGTCAAAGTAATAAGTGCTTCATCCATGTTGATGCCTCTGCTGCATGGTGGGACATTAACTCTCTCAGGAGTGCTTTATTGCTCGCCCACTTTTTTCTGCAGCTCTGGTTCCAGAAGCATATTTCTCAAATCAACCATGAACGTCAAAATATTTTGAGAGCATATGGAAACTCAATTCATGTCATTCGGATTAAAGCAAACAAGTGGGTTCAACACAAGCATATTCAGTTCATTTAAAAAACTTTAATTTCATAAAAAGTAATTTACATATTGAGAATATGAGTAAAGCATTTACTTCTGGAACCAGGTTGTTGTGCTCTCGTTGCTAATACACTATCAAAGATCGAGTTTGAAAAGAAAAATGGAAAATGTATGCGCCACTTTATGGGAGTAACCAAAATACTGAAAGTTCAATCATTTACTCATTACACAGGAGTCTAAAAAATTAAATATCGTTTGATTGATTTGTTTATTTAAGCTTCATTTACATATGAAAGCTGCATTTTTCATTTATCAAAACAAGCTTGTTGACAACATCTTTTGTCTATAAAATCTTTGATTACTTTTCAGTGTCACAAAAGTATTAACATGACTTGTGACGGAGTTTCTAATACTAAAGCGGGAGAAATTACAAATTCCCATGACATTCTTGGAAAGCTATACGAATTTTCAAATGTATATAAATCTCCAGTTCTCATCTAAAGAAGTAGATCAAACTAATATGACTTCTGTTTCTTAGAGACCCAAAATAGACCTGTCACAATATATTGACTTAACCTGCAATACTTGGAGATTAATTAATTTGCCATTGCAATGTATATTTACAAAATCACAATTAACTTTAAAGCCACTTCACAGTGACGTTTACAATCTAACTCACTGGTGTCGAAGTGTATAATTAGACATTTACCTTATAGGGCATATAATAGCATATATATAATAGGACATTTACCTGTTTAACATCAGATTAAAGAATATAAGTAACCTTAAGAATGATAAGTATTTTAAAGTGTTCATGGATATTTGCATTATTATGCTGTTATATAATCATTATATAAGATTATCTCAAAATGACAATGATATCGCTTATCTTAACAATTTCTGTGACAATATATCGCACAGCAAAAATTCCTTATTGTGACAGGCCTACCCCAAGTTATATGGAAAACGATCTATACAGAGTTCTCAAACTCGCTTATATTTCTGTTCGACTCTATGCGCATTCAAATTCTTTTAACAAAGCTTTGTGGTAAATGCTACTTGATGATACTTGACATTTTACCTAACAGCTTCAATTACACAAAGCCATGCTAAAAACATGAATTCTGAAGAATTTGTTTCTTTTTAAAAATTTTGTTTATAATAAACTAATAAAAGCAGGATTCCCACTCTTTCTCAAACAGTAGATTCAGAGACTTTAAAGAACTTTTTTAAAGCACCGTAAATTTTAACATCAAGCACTTTTGTAATACACACCGCTTACTGTACTTAATTCTTACTGTACTTAACAAGTCACTTACACTTACAATAAAATATCAGAGATGTTGTTTTGAATGTGTCTTAAATTCAATGCTGGTGATATTCAAATGCGGTTTCTAAAATATTGATAAAATGGATATTGTTTGTCAGTTATTCAGTTCATAGATTTTCTAGAGTAGAATTTCTTATTGTTTTTGATAGCAGCACAGTACAGTTGTTTAAATTACACCATAAACTAATTTAATTTCAAACTTTCCAGGCCTTGAATCTGTTTGTCTGAATTTCAAGTACTTCAAGAAATGTGGGAACCCTGTGAAAGGGAATACTTGGGATGTAATTATGTGCAAACTTTAATAAAACACACCGAGTTATATTTAGCAAATCATTAAGTTTTAAGGTTATTGCACACCGAAGTCTGAAATTTCCAACCGTAATTTTTGCACATTAAAAAAATACATTTGACCTGTGTGTTAAAATCTTTCCCTGATTGATAAAAGAGGTCAGTGCAGCTCAAAACCCCACCAAGCTGGCCGGCTGGATTGAAACGGTGGTGAGCAGAGTTGTTAGTAATCAGACTGTGGTTATAGACCGCAAATTGGAAAGCATCGGCGAGAAACTAGCGGCATTGTAACAACATTTGGACAGACCTGGAGACCAGTGACGGACATTAGACATCTGAGAAATTGGCAGATATTGACTCAAATTTGAAGATCTTTCCCATTTCTCTTTTGGCTTCAGCCTTGGCTGGAGACAATTAACTTCCCTCGGAGAACAAGATAACGAGAAGCTCTGAATTCCTGCTTCCTGTTCTGAGACTCCACAGGTTTACCTACACCGCTACAGATAGACAATCACCCCCCATCACAACCTATACAATGTTATGTCAATGTTTATGTGCTTGGTTGCTGGGCTTTTTTCCCCCTGATCTCACATCGCCCTACTTTAAGGATAGTCTAAGAGGGGCATTTTTCCACCTCTCTTTTCCCGAATGTATCTTATCTCCTGTTTCTAAAGACTACCTCTCTGTCTTCCCCTCAAATGTGTGATGTTTGTGGATGGTCGTGGGGGGTCCAATTTCACTACATGTTAAAGTGTATGTGACAAATAAAGGCTTTTCATCATCATCATCATCATCATTTGGAGATAATCATAGCAATCTTTGATGATGAGCTGAACTCTCCTTCCTCTCTATGCAGTATTGGAACACAATATGTAGCTTATTCCTCTTTCTTTTTCTACTTTGGAGAAAAGAGAACCAAGTATCGCTGCTTGAACTCTTATTTAATACACATCAGACTCAGTGTGCAAGATTTGTTTATGTGATGAATTTTCCACGTATGAATGCGGAAAAAAAAAGCGCATACAAAAACTTCAGTGTGCAAAGACCTTAACTTATAAATTCAAAAATCTTAGAATAAAACCCACTAAAACAGCATCACGGCTACAGCACTCTGTTGCATTTGTACATTTTGATAATATTTTGGCAGGACCTAACCTGATTCAAAAAAGGAAAAGCTAAAGACATTTACAGCTTTGAAGAAAATCAATTCTACTGTTCTAGAACAAAATGAGGGCGAGTAAATGTTTAATTTTCATTGTGGCCGAAGTAACCCGTTAACTTTATTAAAGTCTTGCATGTTTTGACTTTGTATTCTGCCATTGTTTTGACAGAGCGAGAACAACCAATGACTCCTAACTCCATGGCAACCTCAGCAAGAGATCTCCATCCCATATCTCTCTCCCCATCCCACCCCTGTGTTTTCAAAGCCGTTTACAGCATGAACTCCTCGACAAGGTTTCTCCACTCTGAACAACAGCACACACACCAGCACTATATCAGTGGACGAAACTCAATAATATCAAGAGGACCGCATCGCCATGGTTTGGATTGGTTTTTATTTTGTCGGACATATCATCTTTTCTGTTTAGTTTGCTTTTTGTTTTGTTGGGGGGAAAAAAAAAACAGCAGGATCTGAAAGTAGGTCTACGCGTTTCTAATGCTGTTCACACATTGTATTTTTAAGACGACTTTTTTTCAAAGGCAAAATGAAATGCTCTATTTTTTATATGAAATTACTTGAAATTTCCTATCATATCTACAGGGCTGTAATGCTCAAATCCAGTTTGTGAGATTATTAGATGACGTCCTATTGACGCGTGATCACATTGTGTACATAGTCTACCTTCTGAAATGTAAAAAAACAAAACAAAACATAATAATAAGATTGTACAAAATGATAAACAGACATTGCGTTAGGTGAAGACACACAGAACAAGCCAGCTGTGTCTGATGTTGAAGAGTCTTACTATTCTTAATTCAGGAGTAGGATCCATGAAATAAAACTGCTACTATTTTTTTTTCTGTAACAATGTGTTGCTTGATTCGTTTTTTTCCCACTGAAGCAGTCAAGCTGATGTTATTGCTTAACTATTTATACTGTCCAAAATGTCCAAACTAATTATTCTGTGCCATTTGGTGTGAGGGTAAATCTAGCGTCCAGGGGCCGTTGCACTAGCAGTGTGCAAGGTAAAGAGTAGTCTCGTTGTGACTTAAAGGGACACTAAGGCCCAATCCCAACTCTATTTTTGTACCCCTTCCCCTTAGCCCTTAAAACCTAGGGTGAAGGGAAAGGGCTTCAAAATTTACCACACCACTAGCACACGTCATCATATGTCATCGCGATCTCTTGCTTCATATGAGATCAAACGATCGCGACTGCTGCAGTTATTCCAGTTGTGCTATTTTTTGGTATTTATCTTCAGGAAATCACTAAAGGCATATATTATGTTATCATAATGATATAATGTGGCAATAAGATCGTAACTGTACTGTGCATTTAGGGATTATAGCGTTTTTTATTTTAGCTCAAAATAAAGGGTAGTGCGTAAATTGTAACTTAGGCCCAATCCCAATTCTACCCCTTAGTCCTTCCCCTTACCCCTAATTTTTTTGCGTTCCCGTGAAGGGTAGTGGTGTCCCAATTCTTTTAGCTTGAAGGCGTAAGGCATGGGGTATACACTCCTTCAAACGAAGATTTTTCAGGACCATACTCGAAACCAAGGTGTAAGAAAATTTCCCAGAATACACCTGCCACAGCTGCACCCGGAAGGAGATCCACAAATTAGTATTTTTTGTCATTATTACGATTTTTTGCAACAAACAAACAAACACACGTTTAATAAAATATTCATAGCTGTGTTTGTGTTTTACCATCATGCTTTAAAAAAAAAAACACTAAAATAAAAATTCCACAATTAATGATTAATCAAAACTCCTGTACAGCAGTCCCACAACATTCTGACACTTGAATACCCTTTCAGAGAAGTCTAGTGGCTGAGAATGAGCTTATTACAGTGTCTGCCATAATGTAAGTGTTGTTTTCGTGTGTTTACATAGATGAATATGGCCACTGTGTAAATACACAGTACAGTTACAATCTTATTGCCAAATTAGATCGTTATGATAGCATGATATATGCCTTCAGTGATTTCCTGAAGATAAATAGCAAAAAATAACACAACTGTAATAACTACAGCTGTCGCGATCGTCTGATCTTATATGAAGCAAGAGATCGCAATGACGTGTGCTGGTGCTTTCCCTATTCTTAGGGGTAAATTTTGAAGCTCTTCCCCTTCACCCTCGGTTTTAAGGGTGAATGGAAAGGGTTAGGGGTACAAAAATGGAATTGGGATTGGGCCTAAGTTACAATTTACGCACCACTGAACTTAGTTTGAACGTAACGCTGGGTTTTAACTAAGGACATTTTTAATGTTGTGTTTTCTTTCAGAAGTCATTATAATATGCTGATTTAACACTCAAAAGAAATGTTGCAAATGTTTTGCTGCTTAATATTTTTATGGTATCTGTGATATTTTTCCTCACTATTACGTGGACTAGAAAATGTAACCCTCTTTAGTGCAGTTCACCTGGCAGGCAACATTGCAACTTAAACTAGTGATTTGCCATGAAGTTGAGGTTTCCCGATGGTGGGAAATGAAATTTTAAGTTATAGAACTCTGTTTACTGTTTTGGACAATACAGACAAATCTTTTTTTAAAACAACTTTTAATCTAAAATTGTGGTTTAAAAAAAAAATCTACATCACAAATGTAATTGCTTTTAAATTTAGGGCTGGTATCTCAAAAAAAAAAAAAACTTTAAGTAATAAATTTGTTTTTTCACATAGGCAAGGGCTGGTATAAGATTCTGACGGTATGATAATCTTGGATAATATCACGGTTTTGCGGTATTGTGATTACTGCTCTAAAGTATATTCTTTTTAATGACTGGCTGTCTTCATTAGTTTTAAAAACACAGATTTCTTTCACAATTAAAACAGCATCTTTATATTTCTTTTCTGCTAAACAAAACAAAAAATGTTTTTTTTTTTTAATTTTAACACAAACCTTCGGAACTGTATAGCAGAAAATTTTGGTGGTTTTAAAACCTTGACTTTTCCAAACCACAGTATACCTTAAAACAGTTATCGTCCCATGCCTATTTGCATGTTAACAAAAGATTTAGCTAAATTCAACTTCCAAATTGTTTCCAATGCAGTCATTCTTAAATCTTATTAAATCTATCTCCAATTTTGCTTTTAAAACTATTGGTACTTTTGTAATAGTTTTAGTGGTGCATTTTTGATCAAATAAATGCATCCTTACTGATTTTAAAATAATAAAACCTGTACTTGTCTTATACACACATTTAAACCCAGAGATATCTTTGCTGGTTTTGTCAAATACATTTATCATTTTCACATCAGCTAACAGTAATGATGGGATTACTTTTTTTTTCGTCAGTGGTATTTCTTGGTAAACAACAATGGTCAATTTACTGTAAGAAAAGGGCTTAAAAAAGGGCTTCCCATAAGAGCAGCTCACAACTTGTCAGCGCAGGTTTAGCGCTGCATCACATTACAAGAACTGCTGCTCTGCTGGGAAACTCAAGTGGCAAAAAGCCAGAGCTGTTCTGTTCTCCACCGGTGTGTGGACGACACTATCAAGCATGGCAAAAACGACTCAGGACACATCATTTGGCAAAAAATAATGTTAGCAGGTTATATTTCTGTACTGTATGACAAGCATAAACGTGTATTTAGTGCAGTTTGACACCTTTACATGAGTCCATCAGTGATTTCCCTGGTTCATCCTTAAAACAGTCAGACCTGCAGATCAAATATGGAGTTCATAAAGAGATGTTTCAGAAGAGGAGAGGAGGTATCCCACTCCCGAACAGCAGTTTCCATGAAGGAGGAACCCGCCACTGCACTGAGCCCTGCGTCTAAGAGGAAACGCAAGCAGAAAAAGCCTTTCACTTTAGACATTCCAGAGCAGAGCATTCTAGACCATTTCCAGAGCAGGTCAGGGTGATTGTTTACTGTGGGGAGTACGGCGTATTGTCAGAGTCAGCAGCGCAACACGCAAGTGTTGTACTGCCCGAAGTAAACATGCCCCTGATCTGATATACAAGACAAAGATGAACTAAGTCATTTTTACAGTTTTTCTGGCATAGAAAGTGTTCTTGGAGCTTCGTTTGATCACAGTTAAAGACTGTAGTCACATGGAATGTTTATGGTTGCTTTATTGCCTATGGAGGATGAGAGAGCTCATGGATTTTATCTAAAATACCTTAATTTGTTTTCTGAAGATGAATGAGATTAAAACAACATAGTACAAGTAATTAGTAACAGAAATGTCATTTCTAGCTGACCATCCTTTAATTGCCAATTTTTTTCAATACAGTAAGACTAGGGATGTAACGGTATTGTAAATACCGTAATAACGCAATAGCAATTTTTTTTAATATTACCGTAGTCGCATGACTCGATAAAACTATAGGTCTTTTGAGAAAATTTGCTCAGGCGAATGAAGCGAACGGGAGGTATCGGAAACTACAATTCTACATTCTACCATCATCCTTTGCGGTCTGTTGTCGCTACAGATCCAGTAATGCGGAAATGGAGTGTGCTGCTAGTAGCGGGGTGAAAAAGAGCTGGAAATGATCGAACCTAAAGTGGGTTTTAAATTGGATGTGTGGAAGCATTTCCGTTTCTCTCTAAAAAAAAATAAATAAAAATGGGGGGGTTGGGGGGGTATTGTTGTCGCCGTGCGCCTACTAATTAGCGGTGTTGTCGATTTTTTTGGGGTATTTTCCTTATTTTTGTTTTTCCTGTAAATGATTCAATAAATACCGTATCGTGCCATTCATACCGAGGTATTACCGTACCGTGAAATTCTGATACCGTTACATCCCTAAGTGAGACACTGATTTATTAAATAAAAAAGGAGGTCTGACCGTTACTGCCTGGTATTAAAATGTGCTTACACTGATTTGATTATAAGTGTTCAGTTGAGAAACATTACCATTTCCATCTGGCATTTTCACATTTAATTACTTATTATTTGGGGCTTCAATTAGCACTTTTAAAAGGTCAGAGGAGGACAAGCTCAAAATGATTTTTTTATTTTTATTATTGAATTGACAAAAACACAATGTAATATCAGATGCAACCAAGGCCTTTGCATATTCAGGGTTCTTAAACCTTTTTCAACTTCAAATTCCAGCACTTTTCAAGCACTTTCAATGTGCATTTGTATGCTTTTTCAGCACCTAATAACCACGGTTAGTTACTTTATATATGTTGTAGGTACTTTTTCACATTTAAATCCATTGTGCTATTTTAAAAAGCACAATATGATATTTCAACTTAAAAGGTTAAGAACTATAGAGCACAGACTTATTGGGATAGTTCACCCAAAAATGATTAAAAAATAAATAAAAAAGTTCAGTTATTGGATGAAGCATGTTTTTAAGTTTGGTCTCTTTCTACCTAAAGCTGATATCTCAAAAAATGAGCTTACAATCAGATTTTGTTTGGCTGTAGTACCAAACTTTAATGACCAGTCATTATTTCTTTTTACAGTCATTGGATAGGGGTTTCAGGTGCAAAGATGCATTCTGGGTGAACGTCTCCTAAATACACATGAAGCTAACAGTGCCACAACAATCTGAATTTGTATTGTGTTCATTTGAATTCTTAAAAACCTAAAACTGTATTTTTAAATACCCAATGTCTGCAGTCTTTGAATTCAGAGTAAATAAAAATGTAAAAATATGTCTATAAAAATCAGACTTAAAAATTAGTCTTAAGTTTCAGATGTTCAAAAATCAAGTTAAGAAATACAAATTCAAAACATTTCTAATAGGACATGGTTTTATATTTCAATAGAAACTTTTATCACTGACAAATTTGCACCAGCTTCCACAGAAGTGATAATGATTTGTTCTTTTAAACATACATGAAAAAAGTAGCTCTACAATATTTAAAGATTAGTTCATGCACAGCTGAAAACTGTTTTAATGACTTATCCATGTGAAGTTCCTGAAAGCTTTGTTCATCTTCAGAACACAAATTAAGATGTTTTAGATCAAAATCGAGAGCTCTCTCATCCTCCATAGACTCCAATGGTCCAAGACCAAAAACTCAGTAACTTTGTCAAAACATTCAGTATGATATGAAGCTTCAAAAACACTTTTGTTCACACACTATATATATATATATATATATATATATATATATATATATATATATATATATATATATATATATATATATATATATATAAGGGGTGTAACGGTTCACAAAAATCACGGCTCGGTTCAATACAATACAGTGGTGTCACGGTTCGGTATGTTTTCGATACAGCAATAAAAGAAAAAAGCCAGAGGATTTCTCAGATTTTAATTCAACGGCCCTATTACTAGTTAACAATAATAACTGTGCTGTGTTCTCACGGGTGGTGTCTGATATTGCACAGATGATATTGACATATAAAATATATACTTATTAATTGCATACGTCATCATAATAGCAGTAATGGTCTTTTCATGAGCTGCAATATTAGTTTCATCTTCGAATGCAGGCTCTTTAGCGATAGTGAACGCAGTCTCAGTTGCACGATTGACAGCAACGTGATGATTAAATGATGGACTAAATAACGTTAGAGCATCTCATGCTTAAAATGTGTAGATTCAGTGGCAAACATTGTAACCTGTAAACTCTGTCCCATTGGCTTAACGGTGTATGCTTTAGATATTTTCATAGCGGACTTTAACCACTTGAAGTCTTTTATCCACTCTTGGAAATGTGTAAATGCTGGATTAACATTTATTACATGATCACTAATCAGATGTGTCATTATTTGTAACTTTAGGTGGTTTCTAAAACTAAATCTGTCAATGTTGTTTTCATTCTCTCGTATCCAGACCTTTACGTTTTTGCGGCTGTAGCGCCCTGTCATTGGAACTGAGTGATTGACAGCTGATATTAACCAATCTATTCATGTTCTGTTCTATCGCAGTGGGCCAATAAGAAGAGCTTGAAGGCGGGGCAATCATTGTGGGGTTTGTTTACTGCAAGTTGACATGTCAACTGTTTTAAACCATTCCTGAGCGCTGCGTTTGGCGTTTTTAGGTGCAAAGATGCTTAATGAGTGAATGCCGCCTAGTTCCACGCACTGGTCGCGCGACATTAATTTTATGCACCACCAAATGTATTTTGATGTTGCATTGATAACATTTCAGGCGCATGTCCTATTATTAGGATTTAAATATAAAACTAAACTTACAGGTTTTTCCAGCAGATGGAGCCAGTCATTGAGACAATTGATGAGAGCAAACGCGTCAGGGATGTTGTCTCCTTCTGAGCAGAAGATAAGCACTACTGCCATAGGGACGTCCTCTGTGCAACTACAAGACAAAAAAAACACTTCTTTGACTGATTTTACTATTATTAATTAGACATTTTACAGAAATATGAGGTATTTTACCAGTCAGTGTAAAGGCATTTTGTTACTCCTCCTCCAGGAATATAGAGACGTTGCTCAGAGTCAGAGATACCAGGGAAAACACTGATTTTCTCCATCTCCCTCCAGCCCAGCTCCTCGAACCTCTGCCGTTCCTCTTTCTCCAGAGACGGGCTCAACATGTATCGCAGAGGAGTGCTGCTCAAAAACAGGTTTATGTCAGCTGCTATTGAAGTGGTAGTTCACCAAAAAATGTAAATTCTGCAAGTGCTTTTTTTGTTCCCTCTAACCAGTTCGAGTTTCTTTCTTCTGTCGAACACACAGAAAGATATACTGAAGAATGCTGGTAAAAAAAAAAAAACAGCCATTGACTTTCATAGTATTGTTTGTTCCTACTATGGATGTCAATAGCCGTTTTTTTCAGCGTTCTTCAGATTATCTGCCTTTGTGTTCAACAGAAGAAAGAACTTCATAAACTGGGTTTCTGCAGCTTTCACCAAGTCAAATTTAAGACTTTAAGACCTTTTTAAGACCATGAAGAATAAAATTTCAGACGTATATAGTCTTAAACACTAAGGATTTTTTAATAGCCCAGCAGAAAAAAACATGTACATGCCCTATCAAAAACAAAAAACTAATTGTAATTAGTTATTTGTTAGCTACATATTAAAAAAAAAAAAAAAACTTAAAATAAATGTATGCACAACAGACATAGTTATGAATTAACTATTACAATTAGTTATGAATATAGTTTTGCTAAAAGTTTTATTGAGATGAATTGTTGATGATTGGGTAGCTTTGTGATTGTGTTGGATCGATTGGGTAGCTTTAAATAAACAATGAAGGATTAAGATCCGTTTCAAATTATTTAAGACCTACAAGACAATATTTCAGTGAATTTAAAACTTTTTCCAAAGTCTAAAATTTAGTTTTTGACATGTAAAACATTTTAAGATTTTTTTTAAATCCCCACGGATACCCTAATAAATGTTGAGTGCGAGTAAATGGTGAGGACAATTTTAGGTGAACTGTTCCTTTAAGCTTTTTGGTAGTCATTGAATGTGTCCAGTCAGTTGAGTCTCTAGCAGGTGTGTATAAAACTCAAAAATAGTGCTCACACACACACACACACACACACACACACACACACATTTACAAAAAAATGACTAAAAATGTATTCTAGAATCCCGATCAGTAGCAACGTAAAAAAAAAAAAAAAAAAATAAAAAAACTACACCCCTGCACACATATTGCCCTGTAGTTCCTCATTATGTGCAATAATGTTACCTGGTTCACAAAATCACATTTTCATAATATACACAGAAACAATAGCATAACGGTTTACAAAAACTTGCATCTTGAAAACCCTTTTTCAAAAATCAACACACCATTGTCCTGTAAATGAATGACTTAAATCAGGGCTGCTCAACCCTCTTCCTGGAGATCTACCTTCCTGCAAAGTTCAGCTCCAACCCTGATCAAACACACCTGAACCAATTAATTAGGACCTGAACAGCACTTGATAACTACAGGCAGGTGTGTTTGATACGGGTTACAACTGAAATCTGTAGAAAGGTAGATCTCCAGGAACAGGGTTGAGCACCCCTGACTTAAATATTCATTTTGTTTTTAGATTTTAAAACATTTTGTTGTATAAAAAAATATAGAATTTGAAACATTTTAAAGTAAAGCTTTCTTTCCTTAAAATTAATCACATGATGATTGATAACACAGTTTTAGTGTTTATTTTACAGCTTTAGTCTTCAAATGTTGCACCGCACATACTTGCCATTCATTTACATTATATAAATTACATTCTGCGTATCAGGCCATCAGTATTTCATTACCCATGAAGCTGTTGGTCATCTCTCTGATAAGCATGTGCACTGGACAGCAGCACAGTTCTGAGGAATCCACTGCTCTTCATCCAGGAGATCATCAGCTTTCGGAATGATTTCACTTTTGTCTAAGATAAAAATAAAAACTGACTGTATTAGTAATCGACTGTTAAATTGTCAGTGTTTACAGTATGTACCAGCAGATATTTGGCATTTTTTAGTTATCGGTGTGACTATTATTGTGTCATCAGCGAGATTTAAATGTAAGTTAGTTTAGATACAATTTGACAAGACAGTTGACAGTACTTTGGTAAGGGAGTAACAATTGAGCAATGTAATATTGACAAAATATAGGCAGGTTCATCGTATTATTTATATTGTATTATTATTTGTTAATATTAAACTGCATATTGTATAATTAATATAATAGTAAAAAAGAGATTCACCCAAAAAAATGACATTTTGTTATCATTTTTCCAAACTTCACTTTTTCCAAACATTGGGTTTCCCAAAACCATCGTTAGCCAACTAAGGTCGCAAGTTCCGTCGTTACAAACAGGGTTTGTTAATTTGCCATATCCCAAATACGTCGCTCCAACGAACATTCGCAAACTGCGTCGCAAACTTCTGCGCTTGCAACTACACCTCTGGAGCTGTAGTTAGAAAAATAGTTCCTGGCTGTCTTCTATTCCCACTTATCCCCCCTATGCCCTTTACATTTAGAACATTTTAACTTTCAAAGTTGGAATTATTAAAAATAAAAAAGCATTAAGGTCATCTCTCTTAGGTGTAATTTGCTTTCAAAGTGTTTTTACAGTTCAGTTATAGTGATCTTCATCTTTACAATTGTGTAAATGCGTGTGCGTGTAAAATATGGGGTTTTCTTTAATGAAGTAGTTACTCCGCCCAGTTTAGAGCATCATTGTGGGCGTTTAACGTAATAACTAACATGGTTCAAGCGATGGATCTGCGACAGAGAAACAAAGGGTTTTGGAAAACACCTGTCACTACATTGTTCTTTTCTCAAACGATGCATCGTACTATGATAGTTCAGCCGCGAGTTACATTGTTGTTTGGGAAATGCATCGCTGTTTGAGTTTCTTTCTTCGGTTGAACACAAATCAGATATTTTGAAGAATGCTGAAAACCTGTAACCATTGACAAAGTGTTTGTGTTTCTCTACTATGGAAGTTAGTGGTTACAGGTTTTCAGCTTTCTTCAAAATGTCTGCTTTTGTGTTCAGCAGAAGAAATTTAAACAGGTTTGGAACATAAGGAGGACTAAATAAATAGTGAGTAAATTTTCATTTTTAGGGTAAACTATCCCTATAATGGGGTCTTAAAACAAAATCTAGATAGCACTGGCTTTTACATTTTGTAATGGCTATATTTGAGAGTCTGTGACATGTAAAAGACAGAACCAAAAAAATCAGCATGGCAATAAAAACTCCACACTGATTAACCACTTAAAGCAGGCATGTCCAAACTCAGTCCTGGAGGTCCAGTGTCCTGCAAAGTTTAGTTCCAACCCTAATCAGACACACCTGGGCTAGCTAATCAAGCTCTTACTAGGCTTTCTAGAAACATCCTCGCAGGTGTGTTGAGGCAAGTTGGAGCTAAAATCTGCAGGACACCGGCCCTCCAGGACCGAGTTTGGATACCCCTGACTTAAAGGCACAGTATGCAATTTTCGCCGTCGAGGGCATCTGTTCAGAACAAACAAAGGCACAGTTTGAATATGGAATTATGGGACTTCTGCAGAAATCTTGTTAATGGATGAGTTGAAGAATTACAGATGAGAGACAAGAATGATACAGCATAAAGACAACAGAGCTTTTATTATACCACAGTCTACCGCTTCCAGTTCATCCAGTCATGATCAAATGAGTAAGCAGCAATGCTGTTTTTCATACGAAATACATCTTAAGATTCTGATAAAGTGCTGCTTCTTGCAGTCTAATAAAAGGCACGACATATTAGAGCATCTTTGCTATTTCTGTTTTCTATAAAAGCAAACCAGAAATCGAGGGTGCGTGTTGTAATTCACATGGCAACACATGACACGGTTTGTCACAATAGTTCAAATTGCTTGTTTTTTTTTTAATTTGAACATTCTTCTAAAAGTTCTTTGTGATAATTGAAGTATTAATCTTGATCAAAATAGATAGCACGCCTTTATTTTAATAAACAAAAATCATACATATTGTGCCTTTAATTGCACCTGTACACTTGTTGCATTAACATACACCACTAACCTGGATGATGGGCGCCCTTATCTGCAGCACAGCCAGTTTTAAGTCCCTGTGAGAATACACTGCACAAAAACAAATTCACAACATCACTCATGCAACATCTGTTTGAGTAAGCACACCGGCTTATACTCATGGATTTGGGTTACAAGTTAAAGATAAAAAAGTTCACCAAAAATGAATGGTATGTCATCATTTACTCATCTTTATCATTGTTTGAGTTTCTTTCTTATGATGACCACAAAGAAAGAAACCGGTAACCACTGACATCCATTGTAGGAAACGCAAACACTATGGAAGTCATTGGTTACCGGATTTCATCATTTTTCAAAACATCTTTTGTGTTCATCAGAAGAAAGAATCTCAAACAGTTTTGGAACAACAGGAAGATGAGTAATCGGCAGCAGAATTTTCACTTAAAAGTTTGCAAGAACTGGAAGCTACGAACATTTTTTTTTTGTATTATGACACAGCTCCTAGAGAAATAAAATAGTAAATGAGAAAACAGTAGGCGTGGCTTGTTTTTTTATACTGCGATCTGAATGGATGTAGTAAAGTAGGCATTTCATATAGAATGATTGAGAAAAAAGTTTCCGGAGAGATATTATAACCTAAAACAGAGTATATACAGGAATCAGGGATTGAAATTCAATGGCTTTTAAGACCTTTTTAAGACTTTCCATATATTTTATAACATTTTTATCATTATAGGTTTTAACCGGAAACACTAGCGAGATTTTAACTTACATTATATAAACGAAATATTAATGTATCCTAAATATTAATGTAAGAAACTAATCCAGACTAAAACATTATTCATATCCTGAATAAAAATCTATTAAATCTAGTGATTTAGCAGGTTGGCACCTAAAGAACTGCAGAAATAACGGTGTTGTCTTGGTTACTGCAGTAAACAAAGCAGAGTGACGTCAAATCTAGCAAGATTTAATTGATTTAATAAACTAAACAGCATCCTGATATTTGCAGATTTACTTCAGGCAAACTTTAGCATACAACCACACATCGCATAATCAAAAATTCAATCAAATTTAATACCTAAAAGCATTTAAGACTTTTTAAGTGCCTTAAATTTCTCTACATTGATTTATCAACTTTTAATACTTTTTAAGACTCCGTGAACACCCTGTAATACTCAGCCAAATCAACTTTTCTGTTTGTTGTCATAGTATGGTCAAAACTGACAGTTGGAGGGGCGTGGTTAAGCATGTTAGCCCCACCCAATACCTCAGACAGATGTAATCTGAGAATTTAACTGGAAGCAAACAGGAAGGGCATTTTTTTAGCTTTTAATTAAAGCTAAGGGCAAACATTTTTTCTTAATGACATGCGCAGATGTATTGTTCACCACAAAACTAGCAGTGTGAGCTAACAAAATCAATATGGTTAGTTTTGATTTCATGTGTACTGTAAAGGTCTAATAGCCATCCATTACCTTCTGCGCTGGTGCTGAGCTGAGCAGCATCTTCAGTGGATGAAGCGTATGGGTTGTTTCCAGCCATAGGAATGAGACAGTCTGTGTGGAAATATCCCACTCTGGGCATATTTAGCGTTGAGATGAGCAGATCCACGGCGAGCTGGCCCACATTTCCAACAGATACTGCAGGCTGTGAGAATATGAGGAATAACTGTCATATGGAGCTCCGTGTATTGGGGTCTCACATTGAGACTTTTTCCTTAGCATTATATTTTCAGAAAAGTTTTTTTTTTTTTTTTTGCAAAATATAAATAGGGAAATCATATTAATAACGTTAGTAGCCAAATACTATTAAACATTGTTAATCAAACAGTGCTGTTGTTGTTTTAAAGTCATACGTGCATGCATTCCTGACCAAATTTTGAAAGTAGCATGGTAAACAATACCAGGACCGTGTCACAAGTTGTCACAGAACTGTTGTGCGAGTATAAAACCAACTGTACCTAAATGCTCAGTGTTTGATAACTGCAGCTTACAGAAACCCGCATGTGTCATGATGATGAAGCTCAAATACTTACCAGTATCAAAGTAAAGCCTTTAAAAGAAGGAACGGCATCCCCCGATGAAATGAACATTTTAAAAACTGTTTATAACTGATTTCGCAGTGAAATGTGTACGAGTTTAAGTGGACCAGTACTGATTTTTACTTTCAATTTCCTGCGCTGTGAAAAAAGGACCTAACAATACTGCGTCATTCTCTCAGGACGCCCTGATGCCTGAGTAAAAAAAAACCTAAAGGAATTATTTGCGACGTGTAAGTTAAATATTTTTTGGAAGAAAAAAGGGCACATTTAAAGATATCTTACTCTTGATCTGACGTTAATATATCTTAATTTTGCCGTTATAATAATCTTTGCGATAAAAAAAAACATTTTAACATGTCAAAATAAAAGTCTTTAAACTAATTATAACAAAACGTCTATGCTCTTTGATTATATTAATTGCGATGATAGTGTTGATATATATATATATATATATATATATATATATATATATATATATATATATATATATAATTGTTAAATGTAAATTGATAAATTAATGTAAACATTGTTTCAATAAGTGAATCTGATGTGAAAGACTTTACTTTTGATTTTATTTTCAACTCGATATCATTAGTCTAAATAATACAGCTATACTAAAATTATATTTTAAAACGTACAACTTACTGTAGTTTATCGGTTGTTTACATGGATGATCAAAAGATGGCGCTAGACGCTAAAAATCTCACCGGCCTCTTGCTTGTGAGAGTTGCACCTCTTGCGTTCAGAGCCGCTTTTTTTCCTTCATATTCGACAAGGAATTGGAAATTTAGCATTTTGCTCAAAATGGACATGATACTCTCTCTCTCATTTACTGCAGCTTTGTCAGTTGTTCATCTATATATTAATCTGTCGTTCCAGTACAGCCAAATGCAGCTCTATTGGATTAGAAACTGGTGACTGTGGAGGCCGTTTGAGGATAAAATAATCACTGTCATGTTCAAGAAACACAGACTGAGATGATTTGAGCTTTGTAAGTAAGCTATCAAACAATGGGAACACTGTGGTAATAAATTGAAAAAAAAATTACTTGTGAGCAACAGAAGTAGGCTTAAATTATGCCTTAGTTGGGACCCAAGAATGTAAAAATAAAATATAAAAAACAAGACCAGCAGCCTGAACAATTGATATTAACAAGACAAGATGGATCCTTGTAGGGCTGCATGATATTAGAAAAATCTGACATTGCGATATTTTGTTTTTATACAATATATATTGTGATATGAATATAATTTCACCAGATGGATTGAATAGCTCTATTTTGAAGGAAATCATTCAGATTTTTTTTTTTGGGGGTGTGAACATTGTATAAAAAATAAACAAATTGAAAGCAAATAAAGACAATAAAGCAAAGCAAAAACCAGAGAGTCAAACAGTATTCAGGTACAGAAAATGGATGATGGAAAGTAAAATAATACTTTAGTCTTTGTTGTATTAATAATTCAGTAAACTCATTCTTCATTTCTCTTCATCAGTTACAAATGAGCTTTTTCTGTGCCCTAATGCAATCTTGAAATATCTTTAAAACACATGTTGTTCACACAAGAAAATATAAATGTACTCACCCCAAGTAGTTCAAAACCTTAATGATTTTCTTTCGTCTGCTGAACACTAATGAATATATTTTAAAGAAATCCGAAAACCTGTAACCTGTTGACTTTATTTGTAGAAAAAACAACTACCATGGTTGAGAGGTTCACAATCCATTGTGTTCAACCAAAGAAAGAAACCCAAATAGGTTTGGTCAAACTGAAGGGTGAATGAATGATGACAGAACTTAAAATTAACGCTTTAATGTTGAATAGTTCAATTACTGAACTTTTTTCCAATCTTCTGTCCATTTAGGAAGCCTGTGTGGATTGTCACTTCGGCTTCCACTTCTTAGGTGACAGGAGCAAGGTATTATAGATAATTATTCTAAAACAAATGTGTGAAAACTCCATTTCAGTAAACTTGAGATAAATCAGGGTGAATATGGTAATCAAACGCAATAAAGATACGGCGATGTGTATTTTTTCCAGGATTATTCAGAAATATGGTGTTTCACAGATATCAATAAGAAATCATTTCTGTCATCAGTTTCAGGCTTTCATAAAGTATTTAGTGCACTTGTAAAATATAATAGCTACTAGGCAAAACACTAACAACGTCAACACTTCACCAACACTTACAACATCTTATTCTTTGAATGCACTTTTAATACTAACAGGAGCCAATCTGTGGATTCAGTATTGAATATGTTCATGTGTATATACTACAGTAACCATGCAGCCACCTTGATGTCAAAAAACAACATAAAAAATGCAAATCGATTTGATGTCAAAATCTTGACGTTCATTTGACATCCAAACATTGATGCTTTTTTGACCACAAATAATGGCACAAAAAGTATTATAAAATAAGAGAAGTTTTGTTCATCCAAAAGCTTAAAGGGCACCTATGATGAAAATCCTCTTTTGTAAGCTGTTTGGACAGAACTTTGTGTGCGTTTAATGTGTCCACAGTCATATTGGGGTGATATAAAGACAATAAGTCTCTTTTTTTATTTCCTAACGTTAAAATCGGATCCAAATCCTTTTCATTTTGAGGTCCACCGCAACGTGACGTAGCAGTGCAGTTTCCCCACTCACCAATTTGATTGACAGCCTCATATTACCATGTCTCTGTAATCATCATCATTATTATTTTCATCCGCTTATCTGGGGCCGTGTTGCAAGGGCAGCAGTCTTAGGAGAAAACCTCAGACTTCCCTCTCCCTAGACACTTCTTCCAGCTCTTCCGGGGGGATCCCGAGGCGTTCCCAGGTCAACCAAGAGACATAGTTCCTCCAGCGTGTCCTGGATCATCCCTGAGGCCTCCTCCTGGTGGGACATGCCTGGAACACGTCCCTAGGTTGGCGTCCTGGAGGCATCCGAAACAGATGCCCGAGCCACCTCAGCTGACTTCTCTCAGTGTGGAGGAGCAGCGGCTCTATTTCGAGCTCCTCCCGGGTGACTGAGCTCCTCCCCCTGTCTATAAGGGTGCGCCCTGCCACCCTATGAAGGAAACTCATTTCAGCCGCTTGTATCCGAGATCTTTTTCGTCATAACCCGAAGCTCATGACCATAGGTGAGAGTAGGAACAAAAATTGACCGGTAAATTGAGAGCTTTGCCTTTCGGCTCAGCTCCTTCTACACCACAATGGACAGGTACATCTAACTCATTACTGCTGCCGCTGCACCGATCTGCCTGTCAATCTCATGCTCCATCCTTCTCTCACTCGTGAACATTACCCCAAGATACTTGAACTCCTCCACCTGGGGTAAGGACTTTCCTCCGACCTGGACATGGCAAACCACCTCTTCCATTGACCGCTACCTTATCGTGGTGGAGGGGTTTGAGTTCCTGAGTGATCCTAAGAGCTATGTTGTCGAGGGCTTATGCCCCTGGTAGGGTCTCCTAAGGCGAAAAGGTCTTAGGTGACAGATCAGAGTAAGTGCGGTTTAAAAACCCCTTATGAACTTCATTACATCGAGGGCCGTGACGTCGCCCGGTATGGTGCAGCCGTGGCCCCACCCTGGAGCCAAGCCTGTGGTTGAGCCTCGTATGCGAGCGCCTGGTGGCCGGGGTTTTTTTCCCACGGCTTAGCCTGAAAGAGCAACGTGAGATCATCCTCCTGCGGGCTCACCTCCTACACGGGAAGTTGTAATAACCTGGTGCATTGTGGAACGGGCGGTGGTCGAAAGTTAGCACCAAGACAACCCGATCGTCGGGTACAGAAACTGGCTCTTGGGACATGGAATGTCTCTGTAGTAACACATATCATCATATCAACAAGACAGGACTTGCACAAAGCAACTGGGATTAAAAGATCTTTTCAGCTCTCTGTGATCATCAATCATTATCAAATATGATCAAGAATGGGTTTTACAAGTTTAAAACGTTTTGAAAACAGTGCATGTTTGTAATAAGCACAGTAAAATTTACATAATTCATCACCACAGCCGCATGTCAGTACAACTATAAAGACACTTCAATCCCAGTTTGTGGACGTTAAATCAGGTTTATTTTGTACATCAACATTACAGATGTCCATACGGCAATGGGTATTAACATGTATCCTGTCACATTTGCCATGCAAAAACAGTGCAAAGCTAAACGTGTGTGTGTGTGTGTGACTCATCATTGCAGAAAGGCTTGAATTAACAAATACATCAAATAACGGTTGGGAAAGTTCTTACTGTAATAAGGAAGATTTGCTTCATTCTTGTCCGTCACTGTGCTGTTTGTCCACATGAAGGCTATGGCTTTGACACGCATGCTCATTCGCATTAAAGGCACAGGCAACAAAAACAGCTACAATGTTATAACAGCTCAATTTTCCCAGATTTAAATAGGTATAACAAATAATCTGATGTGTATTTTGAGCTGAAACTTAAGACACATTCTGAAGACACAAAAGACTTGTATTAAATCTTGAAAAAGGGGTAAAATAGGTCCTCTTTAAATTCCAAGTTTACACTGGATTTTGTATCTTTATGATGCATGTACTGTAAACAACCTTGATGTCAAAACGTCATCAAATTGACATCTAACACTAATGTCAAAATGGAGTTTTTTAATGGCAAGGTTAGATGTCAGATTGATGTTGTTTTAACATCTAGAAATTGATTGTCATTTTTTATATCATTATGACATCAAGGTGCCCGCTGGGTAAGTCTTTTAAGAACTGTAGGAACAGCATCATAAGTTCTATGAAGTAAACAAGCCTTCCCTTTTTCTTTTAATTAAATTTAACTTAACAGAAATGTTGTTTTAGTTAAGTAATATAATACTGAGTCAAATATTTTCATGAAGATGGGTTTACCACAATAGGCAAGTGCTTTCTTAAACTTACCAAATATATATTTTTAGGATGTGAAATATTCTGTGTTGAGTATTCTCACATTTATTCAGAAATCTTTTAAATATTCTTATTTAGAGTTGATTATCTGTATGGTAAAAATAATATATGCAGCATTATTTCATATAGGATCGCCAGCATTCATTCATGCTCCTCTGCTGCAGTTGTAGATCAAAATCAGACTATAAGCTTTCAGTTTCACAATTGCTCAGAATAATGATTTAACGTGTTTAT